TGAGCGTACCTGAGCTGCTGCAGTGTCTCTCTGACTGCGGAGCTCTGTGGGTGTTTGCTGTGGATCAGTCCATCAGCCAGCTCGCTGCAGCTCTGCAGTCGCTCCTCTCCGACCTCCAGCTGCTTCAGGAAACCTTCGAACTTCCCACGAAGCAACTGAAACGTCCAGCACAGAGAAACTTAGCATTTACCATCTTTATTATCATTATTATTATCATTACTTTAATTTCCTTATTATCTTAAGATAAACAGGAGCAGGACTTAAATATCACATCATCAATATATTGAAAATTGAAAGATTTTTAAAGACAAAAACATACAAAAATAAACTCTGTGAGAGAGTTTCTAAATAACCTCAAACACATCTGTCATCTGTCTGCAATAATCCAGTGTTTGGTGATAATCTCTAATCTCCTGTCTGATTGATCTGTGATTGATCTGGGTCACATTAATGAGACCTGGACGTGTTGGTAGTCGTTGCCCAGGTCCTGAGACTCGGCTGTCTGTCTCTGCTGGTTCATCCAGTCCTCAAACTCGTCTGACTCTTGTGTGAACTCGTGGAGATGGAGGACTTCCTTTAACCTCTGACCCCTGACAGGAGACACAGGCAGTCAGAAACACAGCTTACAGAGCCGATCAGAGGTGGGAAGTAAAGTACAAATACTTTATTACTGTACTGTGAGAAGTTTTTTCAGGTATTTTTACTTTTACACAAATATCTGAACTCCTCTTATTGTATATTATTGTATATTGGTATTAATTATTATTACATTTAATTACATTTTGTGGATCAAGGTTATTATTTTGCTGTCTCTGTTTATGTTGCTATTACATACTATAAATATATTACTACTTTACGTAGAGGTCTTTGAATAGCCTTGTTGTTGAAATGTGCTCTACAACTATAATGAAACTACAGAGTAGTCAGTATTTACCTGAGAGCTGCCTGGTGCTGCAGCTGCTGGTTCAGGCTGCTGAGGCGACTGTAGGGCCTGCTGAGCTCCTCCAGGCTCCAGTTCTGAACCGCCTGCTCCACCTGGTCTCCTAACTCCTCCACCTCCACCTCCAGCACCTCCAGCTGGCCCTCTAACACCTACAGACAGGAGTTATCAGGATGCTGTTCACGGATACAAGGTACTGCTACAACCTTTGTTTGAAACAGATATTCTCAAACATGTTCAATCAGGGCAAAACATGCAGGAGGAAAGTGGACGAATAACCAAGTAAAAAAGTGAGAAGGAGTTCCACATGGAACGATCTGAGGTCCCCTGCTGTTTCTGTTGTACCTGGTGTTTGGTGACGAGACTCTGTGTGGCCAGCTGGTCTTTGCCGTAGTCGTCAGTGTTCACCAGATTGAGTGTCTCGGTCAGCCTGGACTCCAACTCTGAGCAGTCTAACAGCAGCTGGAGAAAGTTCACAATTCAGCACAAATTGCTTCCAAAACAGTTTCTCAAATATATATATATATATAGGTATAACTGCTGTCTGTTTGTCAGCTAGTGATGTAACTGTAGTATTTGTAATGTAGTGGTTTACTATTAAGTGCACTTTGTTGGGGGAGAGATAGAAAGTCTACTGCTGGGTTCAGACTACATCAATGTTCATTTTGATTTAGTTTTATTTATAGTCTTTTGAACAACTACTTGTTGTAGTTATAGTCGACTGAAATGGGTTTCCGGGTTTAGTTAACCTGTTAACCTGGTCCTAGCCTGTCAGTGCCGAGCTTGGTGTTGGGTTAGGAGTATACAGGTGTGGTTAGAGGTTACGGTGGCCTAATTATATAATCCCAGAGGAAACGTCTATTAAGTTAATATGACTAATTTACGACCTAAGTTTAGCAACTCTGGGTCATTCACTCTATAATCAGTGCAGGACTGCGTGATTTGGTTTAACACACCAGCTCAGGTTAGCTGCTAATGTTACACAAAGAGATTAGCTCTGATTGATTGATGACTGATCTCTTCCCTTACTTTCCTGATGCTCTACGTCTGTCGGGTCGGACTGATATCGAACTGATATGTCGTCTGAGCCCAGTATTAGACATTCACTTTGTGTTACCAAGTTTTTTAAAACCTTCTTCTCCATCTCACCTGTTCTCTGGTTATAGCCTTGCTCAGGTGAGCTGCTCTCCTTTTGCACGCCTCCTCTAGCTCCTCCCACTCTGCACTCAGGTGGCTGCACCTACAAAAAACAGCACAGTCCACATAGTTACTTATCAAGGAGAGTAGGACGTATTGACATTAAATGCAATGAAGAGAGACACAAGGGCACCTCTGGAGCACTTCCTCTCTGTCTGATTTGCTGGATTTGGCCAGGCTCCGCCCCTTCTCCAGGACGTGGTTCAGGTGTTTTTGGTGGGCGGTCACTTCCACCTGCAACTCCTACATACACACGTTATTTTAGCAGTTATTGTGATTATTAAGGTTAGGGTGTGAAATAAAATGGAGCTTTAAATGTCAGACATCAGCCTTCAGGGATCCAGCTGGTACCTTGTGTTTCTGCATGAGGCTGATGGCTCCGGCCAGAGACTTGTCCAACCCCGTGGATCCAGAGGCAGGAACGTGTTCAGTGATCCAGCTCATCTCCAGGTCCACGTCGTGATAAAACCCGAACAGCAGCACCGATGCCTCCAGCTGAGCTCGGCGCCGGTCCAGAGGCTTCTGGAGGGACTTGAACCTGCAGCACAAAGCAAATCGTCGTTTTGTTGTATTTATTCTGTTCAACTTTATTGGTTTATTTCGCAGGGACAGTTTACGTTAATAAAAGAGTTAACTAAGAAGCTATTTTATCCTTTAGCCACGCTGCTACTGTTCACTGTGTAAAATAAAGTTTACGGGGTTTTCACCATTTATTGTGTTTTTTAAATACATTGAAATATTAATACAATTACAAAATAACCTGTGAATTTACATGTCTAATTTAAAATAACTTTAAATAATCATAAAATTACTGCATAAAATCTTTTTCACATAAAGATTAAAATACATTCAATCTATAATTTATTTGCAAATATTTACTGTTTATTTAATAGATTAAACTGTTAAATTCAAGCTTCATACTGTTAATACATTTCTCAACTGATGTAAAGTAAGTGACATATTATGAAATAAGTTAACCTGAATTTATAGCTCATTTTATTGTTTTTACAGGTAAATATCTTTAATTAAAAATGAAAAGACAAAAGATTGTATGTAAAATTAAAAGTTCTAATTTAATTACAGTATTTCTTGGGCGTAATATTACAGTTTTTTCCTATTTTTTTCCAGTGTTGCTGAAACCAGCATTGGCAACCAGCGCCTGCAGAGTGCCCAGCGTTGACCTACAGAGTGAGGTAGGTGTCGGTCTCCTGGAGGATCCTCTGCGAGTCGAAGTGGTTGGAGGCGAGGTGTTTGGCTCTGCTGACGATGGAGTTGATCTTCTCCGCCAGCTCCTTGGCCTCCTGCTCCAGCTGCTGATGCTCCTTCACGAAGAAACACAGCAGTTACTGACCGCTAACAGGCACCACATTAACCATTATATGCACTTAAACTGGACCACCACCACTGACGTTCTCTCGGCGTTGGCCTCACCTTCAGGAGCTGTCGGCTGGAGCGGAGGTCGTGACCTTTGGCGGCGTTGTTCAGCATCCACTGGATGGCCTCAATCTTCAGTTTGGCGTCCTGAGGAAGGAAGAAGGATTTCAACCAAGCGTATACAGAAAAGTTGGTTTTGTTGGTCAAGTTCCTCCTTTCCGAGGCTTATTGGCTAGCTAGTCAGTTAATTATTGGCTAAATTCCAATTAGCAGTTAAGTCAAGTAATTATTTGGTCATTCAGTCATTTAGCCCTTTGATAAGTTATCTAATTGATTAGCCAGCTGTCTGTCACATTTGTTATATGATCAGTCAACAGTCAGTAAGCTAAATGAGTCAGTTCTCAGTCGGTTGGTGATATTAGCACGAGTTAACACTTTACAGTCAGTGAATCAGTCAGTGAATCAGTCAGTGAATCAGTCAGTGTTTTACCTGCAGCAGCTCCATCAGCTGCTCCTGCTGACCCGCCTGCCTCAGTTTGTCTCCTCTGTCGGCCATCTTGTCCTGAAGTCTCCTCCACCGGCTGGAGAGCTGAGTAGACTTCCTCCTGATGCTCTGACTGTTGTAGTGCTCTTCATCCAGCATCTCCTGCCCCAGCTGAACACATGAACACACACACCATTGAGTTCAGCCCTGTTCACTCAGTGTGACAGGTCCGGTGGTTTTCCAGAGCAGCACTTTACCTGAACCAGTCTCTCCAGCCAGACCTGGTTCGCCTGCATCTCCTTCTCAGCCGCCTCGTGTCTCTTCAGCTTTCGGAGGATGTTGGTGGGGTCGCGATACGACTCGTCCTCCGCCACCTTAAACTTTTCTTCCATCCAGAGCAGCAGCTCGTCTGCATCTCTCTGGAACTCCTGCAGAACATCAGGAAACAACGAGTCCACATTAAAACACGAACATAAGACTTCATTTCTCCAAACACCAGCAAATAACATTAACTCCAACACTGAGGCAGCAAGAATAAAAGAGTTTAAAACAAACTTTATTAATTCTTATTTTCAATCTGTATTTGTGAATTTTATTTTCATTTTGGTTTATTAGTTTTCTGAACTTTGCCTCTTCTGCACCTCCTGGGCTTCTGTAGCTCCTCCCATCTTCCCCTCACAGTGCTGCAAAATGCTGCAGAGCTATTTTATTGTTTCCTTTGGAAATTGAACCGTTTAAGTCGAAACCTCAGTTGCAGAGTGTTAACTGTTGATATTATCATGTTATCCAGCCATTTTGTAACGTTTTGAACGTTAATATTTAAGTTTTATGAATGTTTTAGAGCAGATGATAAATGTTCCATGAGATGTCCTCTGCTTTATCCACATGTGTTACACTATGATAGTATTATAATAACAATAATAATACCTGATATTTCTTTGAGGCCAGCAGCAGACTCCTCCTCTGCCTGCTGCTCTCTTTCAGCTTCCTGTTGGCCTTCTGGATGCTGCTGCTCTGCTCCTTGATGCTTAAAGATAAAAGAATAACACACATATTGATAACAGTTTCATTTTATTGGACTCATATTGGACATTTTAAGACATTCTGTCTTACTCAAGTTGTGTCCTGTCACATTGAACTCCATACGTACAGATTTCTGCTCTCTTACTGTTTGGCAGCGTAGTGCTGTTGGTTGATCAGCTCCTGGCTGCGATTAATGAAATGATCAACTTGTTGATCCAAAGCCTTCAGGAGACCTTCCAGCTCCTCCTGTCGGCCCAGCAGACTGTGGACGCTGTCCACTGAGTCCTGATCAATAAACACACGTAGATTATCAGAATACACATCATATATACTGCCTGTCAGAACAGACCAGAGTGAGCGTCCTCACCCCGACATCTTTGACCCTCAGTCGGGCTTCGTGTCCCGACAGCGCCGCCTCGATCCGGTCTCCTTCCTGGTTCAGCCTCTGGAGCTCCACCCCCTGCTCCAAACAGGCCTTCCTACTGGTCCACATGTTGTCAAGTTTGGACCAATCAGCAGTAAGTCTGTCCAGGGTCTGCTGGATGTCGACGCCCCCTGTCTTCCCATCGGAGGAGCTCTGCTGAAGAGACTTTCCTAACTTCTCCATCTCCTTCATCCTGAGACGTCACAAACATGATGGACGTATTCAACCCATAGATGTCATTTAATTATTATATAATAAATATTAATGAAATAATCACCAATAAACCAGCTGTCCTTACCTGCTCCTCTCCTCCTCCATCTCCAGCCGAAGCTCCTGGTGTTGTTCCAGCAGGGCGAGCGCCGAGGCCACGTCTGCGGCCGTCTCCTCCTGCAGGAGGCGATCCTGGACCGAGCCGACCCAGCGCTGCAGCTCCTTGGCCTGCTGCTGGAAGCTCTGCAGCCTGCGGGCCTCCTCCAGGAGGCGCTGTCTGTCCGCCGCCTGGCCCTTCAGCTATTTAACAACAGGAGGAGAGCAGGATGAATTCAGAGCAGTTCGATTTCTGACGGGAAGGTGCTCAGATGTTAGACGTGCGAGGACTACAGGGGCCCGTTCAATGCTAACAGATCCCCCCACAGATCAAACATACCGCTGACCCAGCAACATTGGACTGAAATAGATTGTGTTGTGATGTTATGCTAACATATTATTTTGTCTGTGAATCAGTCCGAGCTAATCATATTACTATTGTGTCGTCAGTTTTTTACTTCCTGGTTTATTTTGTATATATTTGTATATATTCCCTGTGTCCCTTCCCCTCTTCGTCCTCAGTGTCAAGAGTTCCAGTGTTTCCTTTGTGTTTGATGTTCTTTGATTGAGCCTGTAGTGTAGACGGACCCCGCAGTTAACCTCAGCTCTGAGAACATCTAGAGTCGATCAACTCAAACCTGATCCAGCAGAGCCTCCAGACCCCGAACCTCCTCCGAGATGGCTGCACTCTCTGCTGGACTGCAGTCCTGCTTCCTGTGAGACAGGAAACAACATCAGGGACCAGAATCAGAAAGAAAGAGACCAAACCAGCGACTAATGTTTCATATTATACAATTTTTTTCCTCCATTGACTTTCCAGGTCTGATTCCTCTTGAAATCAATGAAATGAAGCGGTGAAAACACTACCACTTCTTTCCACGGGGGCACCAGAATCAACAAAAAATAAGAGTTCCTTGTAGGGACTTTAAATAAAATTTTGGAGCCAGAATCTCTTGGGTGAAAAACACCAACTTCCACAAAAAAAGGTAATAATTGGGAATAAAACAAATATAATTATTAAACTGAGTTCTGAAGTTTTCTAACCTCTGAAATTACAAAAGTTTTAATGTGACAAAAGTGATTTTTAAAATCTCCTCTGGCTGTTTTCTGTGGAAGCCCACTTCCACCATCCATAGTTTTCTCCTCTTGGTTCAGAATGAAACCAATAAAATGAGGTTTTTACATCTTGGCGACACTCTTCAGGTAGGCGATCTTGCTCTCCAGGGCCTGGATGTCTCTGAGGGTCTGAGCCTGGTTCTTCTCCTCGGCCTGCAGGGTGAAGGAGCTGCAGCCAACGTCCACGGTGTCGAGCTGCGACAGCTGACCCTGCAGCTGAGCTTTAGCCTCCTCGCAGCTCTGCAGGAAGGACTGCACGTCTGCTGTGCTCAGCAGCTCGTGGCCCTTTTCATCCTTGAGCCGCTGGATCCGGTCCCACCTGCAGACACCAGGGACCAGACTCACATCAGCTCCAGGTCAGACCCCATCGGTGGACTCTGGATGTTATCACGTTTAATTGGTACCTGTTGGAAACCCTCCTCTGTCTGTCCTGGATCTCTCTCTGTTTACTGTGTCGACTCTTCACCAGCTCCTCTGCCATTCTGATGATGTCATCCAACTGGCCACGCCCACTCGCCAACTCAGTCAAGAAGTTCTGAAACAGGAAGATCAATAACAACAAAGTCACATGGTGTCTCTCTCCCTCTGATAAATTATCAGTTGATATTCATTCATCACGTATTCTAGCAAAACAATTGATAGACTTTATGTTCTCTGAAAGCCAAACTGTTGTTTGTTTGTTGTTGTTGTTGTTGTTGTTGTTGCTAACAGTGATGTCAGTTATATTTGGTTAGAACTGAGTTATTGAATATTAAATCATCCGTATTTGCTCACTCCATCTCAGCCTTTCTAAACTTCTAAACTTATGAACTTGTATCGGTAATTATTAATCTTTCATCCCTTTTATTAATCAATATACCAATTAAACGTATTAAATTATGGAACACAGATTTCTTTTGTTTGTAAAACTTTCACATTTTCTAACAAAGAAAAGTAAACGATCATTATTATTTGTTTATTTCAAACCTTGAGAGTTTGACTTAAACGTTGAAGACGTGTCTGTTATTGTCACCTCGTATTTGGCCTGAAGCGTTCCCAGGTTGTCGCTGTCGGTGCTGAAGGTGTTCAGGACGTTCTCCTTGTCCTCCATCCACGACTCAAACTCCTGGCAGCCGTTGTAGAACCGATGTAGACGCAGCACCTCCTCCAGACTCCTTGTCTTCGACTGCAAAACAAACAACAAGATTTTTACTTTTCACAGAAAATTCCCTTTTTAATCTCCAGTACCATTAAACTACATTTCCCACAATGCCCCTGTCACCTTGACCCGGTTGTACATGGAGCTGAAGTCCTGGTCCAGGCTGGTCTGCGTGCTCTCCACAGTGTCTCTCTGGTACTCAGGGTCTGGCAACCATGTGGTCTGGATCTCGGTCGTGTTGCGGCGCATCGAGCGGCTGCGCCTCGGATGGCTCAACTTCTTGCTCGGACTTTCTGGCACGCCATTGGTGGAGACGGGCGGGGTCGGGGGAGGAGCCTGAGCAGAGTGAGGAAGGAGGAGGACATCAGGGTTTTACGTTAGACGGTTATTGACTTATTATTGATCTTAAATCACATTTGATTTAAAGGTTATTGATCTGATTGAAACGGTATTGATTATTGATCGTACAGCAGCTGGCAGCAGGGTCAGGAAGGTTTTGGGGATGAGCTGCTGGTTTCCTCGGCTGTCTCTGGCCAGAACTCGGTCTCCATCGGGCTCAGTGCTGACGATGGTTACGATTTCATTACGATCCCACGGAAACTGACCTGAAATCAGTTCACTTTGAATTAATTAAACGTTTAATCTTCTAACTTCTCCTGCAGGTCAACATTATTATCTCTTATAAAGTTATCTTAGCTTGTTTCTCTGATAACTTAAGATCCAGACTTGATTGATCGATTGAATCCACTACATATCGAACATAGCTCCAGGGTTTATACACTGTTTAATGAGGAACTGTTACAGATTATAGATTAAAGTCTCCTGGGGAACAAACATCAGTACCTCGGCTGTATCTGAAGCGGACTTTGGCCTTGCTGTCGTCACTCTGGGAGGGGGCGCTCCCAGAGCCCCTCCCACCCCTGGTGCTCGGTGTTGGTGATGTCACAGCTCCTGGCCCCTCCTCCTCTCCAGAGGAGTCGCTGTATTGGATCATCTGACTCTGCTGAGGCTCCGCCTACACAGGAAGAGCGAGAATCAACGCACCAAAACTCAAACGGTGGTTGGAAGGAACCTCATCAGTGACATCACACAGACAGGAAGTAGGAGTCTGCACTCACCGTCAGAGCCGTTAGCTGCGCCGCACTCCTCGCCTGCTCCGACAGCCTCTTTATCTCCGAGGCGTAGGCCGCCATCTCTTTCTCTAACCGCAGGTGGCGCTGAAGCAACGCCCCCGTGCTCGACTCGTCTTTCCCGTGATCCTCGCCGGTCAGCAGTGGCTTCCTGTCGCCCAGCCAGGAGTTGGCCTCCGCCGCATCTGCAAAGTACTGAAGAGAGGAGTTAGCAGTTAGCGGTGTGTCAGAGGGTCTGAGGAGACCTGGATCATGTCAGACCAGAACCTGTTTAATGGCGGCTGCGGCCTCCAGTCGGTGGCGGCGTCCTGTTGCCTCGTCCGTCAGGTGGTTCCACTGCTTCCTCAGGGTACGGATCCACTTCTGGATGGCTCGCTGGTTCGGCTGACTCTGCTTGGACAGCAGGTCCTGACCTCGACCCAGAACCCCCTGGTACAGAGACTCCTGGGCCTGAAGCTCCGCCTCCAGAACCTGACAGAACGCCATCACATTGATTATTGACCCGATCGGCTACAGTACAAATCAATCAGACTGTGTTCGGTCTGAGGTTTATGGACCTTGTGTTTGTGCTGGGCCAGCTGGATGTGGTTCAGGTCTCGTCCGAGTCC